ACTTTCAGGGTCGACCCTTACAGGGCTCTTACAGACTGTGACTCAGTTGGTGGGTCAGCCATTTTTGTTGCAATTTTTTAATGCATGATGATCAGACGTGGGGCCCACCTCAGTGTGAGGAGCCTGTAGGAAACTTGGTAAATGACCCTGGCAGATCAGCATTTCCGTTCTTAGATAGCATGTCCTTGTCACAATAATGTCTAATGGTTGCTTATACATAGGATTTTGCAATTTTTGAGTAACCAACAATCTACCTTGCCCCTGTTTGACTGTCCTTTTTCCCTCACAGTTTAATTTTTTCTACTGGGATACAGTCATTTCACCCCACTTTCATTAGTCGCACTAGCCATTTTTTATTAGTATTTAGATTTGTTCCAAAATTGCCGTCGATTGCAATTGTCATGGGTGGGTAAAGAGTAAATTGGTCGTGTTTCATTGAGGGCAGAAATGGAAAAATGAAATTTCAACGGGTGGTTGTGCATTATTTTTATTAATGGATTGTCAAGAGTCACTTTCATTTTTAAATAATATACTACTGTTCCCAAAAGTGAAAATGCTTCAAAACGCCAAAAGAAGGCAGTCAAACGGATGCTTTATTTTCTAAGCATTATAATTAATTGAGAAAATTGTAACAGCGGTTCCTAATTTTTTCATTTTTTATACATTTTACTCTAATTTTTATTTTGTGTCAATGAAGGTTCCTAACATTTCATAAATATGCACATGAGGTCCATCTGAATAGAAATCTTCCAAAACACCGTCAGTTGACTAGGATAATTAAGGAATTTGCATCAAATAAAATCGTCCAAAAACGTCGTGTAGAAAGGTATCAACATCCGATAAAACCGTCGAGATAGCAAATAGTTGAAGAAATTTTTCGATCAACTAACGATGTTTTAAATAATCTCTGTCTAGATAAATTTCAAGTGCATATTTATAAAAGGTTAATGACCTTTACTGGCACAAAATGAAGGTTAGAATAAAGTCTGTAAAAAATGAAAAAAGTTAGGGACTACTACTGCAATTTTCCCTAATTAATTTTCGTTTGTCTGCTTGGGAAAACTTCAACTTCAAAATGGTAATTTGATTTAGACTTTAATTATCAAAATGTATATGGTCTCTTCAAAATCACTTGTACGAGATAAAAATTTACATAATGCTTAAGCGTCATATCTACAGTATAATAAAAGTGGGATGGTGCAAAAACTTTTAAATACCAAATTTACTCCTACATATTCGACTATATGCTCACTACACCCTCATAATTGGAATACCAATTTAATTAGTATTTATAATTTGATTTAGAATTAATATAATACAAGGAGTGAAATATTTAATTGATATTTATCATTTTAAATTGAAATTAATATAAGGAGTGAAATTAATATTCAATTATATCAAAAAATAAAATTAGTGACTTACCATTCAATCGATCATTTTGTTCTTGCAATTCTTATTTTTCATCAACAAAACTCATATTAATCTTCATGATTTACATTATAATTCATGCAATGAGTTTTTATATTTCATAAATAGAGCAATTTTTAATCTTCATGTTTTACATTGTAATTCATCCATTAAGTTATTATTTAATCGATGTTACAAATATTTCAAAGGTTGAATTAATATCATAATGAGGACATTCAATGAATAAAAAGAAATTACACACGGAAATTCAATGCCTAACAATCAATTGAATTTTTTTTCTTTACAATTTTTTTTCATCAACATAGTCCTTATTACCAATTTAATTAATATTTATCATATGATTTAGAATTAATATAAGTGGTGAAATATTTAATTGATATTTATCATTTGGGTTGAAATTAATATAAGGAGTGAAACTGACATTCAATTATTTAAAAAAATAAAAATCAATGGAATTTAGTGACTTATCATTCAATTGAGTATTTTGTTCTTAAAATTTTTATTTTTCATCAACAAAGAAATTTTTATTTTTCATCAACAAAACCCTTATTAATCTTCATGATTTACATTATAATGCACCCATTGAATTTTCATTTTTTTATTAAAAAAGGCAATATTTTTTAATCAACAAAGCTCTTATTAATCTTCATGATTTAAATTATAATCCATCCATTAGATTATTATTTAATTGAGGTTACAAAATTGAAATGTTGCATTAATGTATTAACGAGGTAACAAATGTGCTAAGGTTTGCATTAATTTATTAATTGGGACATTCGATTACTAAAAAAAAAAAAATTGTGTACAAAGAGGTATTATTATAATCATATCATTACATTTTAGTTTATTCAACATTTTCACATTATGTACGTAATTTCATAAAAACTTATATTATAATAATAATAATAATTCGAAAATAGTATGTATATCATTCATCGATCCATAAAACGTATAACACACGTACTTACTACTAGTCGTATTTAAAAGTTTAAATATACTTCAATTTATTATTGAAAAGCTTGAAAAAAAATTAAAAAATACTTTCTTTTACATTCATCCAGATCCAGACACGTACAAATGTGGGTGCACCTGGACCAGTGCATAATCATGCGCATTGTTTTTGAAAAAAGTTGATTGGGGTTGATCTAACCTTAAACTGCCATCTTACTTTTTACAGAAGAATCCAACAAGAGTAAAAATGCACCTCACAAGCAGACAAATGGGGAAAGATAAAAGATTATACTAGCCTTGATTGTTTTTCACTCTTTTTCTATTAAAATAAAAAATATAATCATTATCCATCATATCAACACATTATATTTAAATTTTTATCTCCTGTGTGAGGTCCGTAATAACTATATTTTTCATTCTCATTTTTACATAAATGATAAACAAACGGGGTCTGAGAATAGATAAATAAAGCATTACATGAACGGACAAATTTTAGATAATTTTTTTACAGAATACATGTATCGTTGTTTGATTGGGTAGTTAGAAAAAAAAAATCACCCACACAATTACTGCATTGTAATTGTTGTTCACTTGTTCGTCTCTTCTATTTTCAACTATACATTTTTCAATAAAATAAAATTATATATAAGCCCGAACCAAGAAAAAAAAATCGAAAAATCGACCAAACCATTCAAATCGAATTGACTTGAGTCAGTTCAGGTCGGTTTGACACGAGTAATTGGTTTAATTTGATTTTTTTTAATCAAAACCATGGTAAGTCAGTCCAACAATGGTTTGAAGCCTCAAACCACTAGTTAACCGTACCAACCCAACCCACTTATATGTTTACCTTTTTTTTAATAAAAATCAAAATCAAAAGATCAGTCATAATCTTATATCTATATCTTGATTCTCTCCAATCTATTATATTGTCAGTAAGTAATATCATTTGGAATTCCTTTTACAAGCTCAATATATTATACTTAACCTTTTTTCTTTACTCAAGCTATCATGCTACATGATACATAAAAAAAACAACAAAATTCTTATATTTTTTGTTGATCCGTCTCTTTTAACCTGATTTTATTTATTAGTCAATAGCTCTTGTAATACAAAATTATTTAGTTATCGTAGTTTAAGTAGACCCAAAACTCGGACAAATTTTTTTCAAAAAAATTCAATTTAAACTAAAAGCCCAAACCAATTAATTGAACCAAACCGATTGGTTCGGTTCAATATAAGAGCCAGAGTATGTTGCTCTGTGTTAAAATTCACCCAAACCGATTAATTTGATTTTAGGTTTGGGTTGGAGTCTAAACTGACTCAAACTAAACTGCTCCCAAGCCTAATTACACATAAATTCAATTTTTTCTTTATTTTTTAGCCACACATCCTCCATCAAAATACTATTTCAAAATATATTTTGGGAAAAAAAGAGCTCAAACATTCGCTAAATAGTGAAATTTCAATTTTAATCATGTATTTTAATGAATTTACATGTGCTAATCACTATTCATTTATATTATTTAAATTGTTATTCATTCTTCATTAATGTACCAAGTAAAAATTTATCAATTTACTATTAAGGTACAATAGTGAATTCTCGTTTTATATGCCACTCTCAATTCTAGATAACATTTCAGAGCATTTTCGAGAGAGACTCTAAACACAAAATATTATCTATTTTAGTCTTTAGATATTTAATTTTTAAAAATAAATTTCAAGAGACTCTTCATTTTAGCTTTTTTAAAATAAAGAGTAGATTTGACTTTCTAAATTTCAAGAACCAAACTCACTTTCTATTTTTAATTAACAATATCTGTGTTTAAATTTCAGTACTTTATCAATTTAAATTATGCAAATAACATTTGAATTGATTAACATACTCTACAAAAAAAATAAAAAAAATAAAATTATGTTATGTAATAAATGTGGAGAAATCAAAATGTTCGTTGAAAGAAATAAGATAAACAGTTAAAACAGAGAGTATCATTCAAGTGTATAAAAAATTTGTGTTATTGGAATACATAAAAATTTACTCTCTAAATTTAAAAACACTATCTATTACGCATGTATAGAGTCTTTTGGTCCTTGTTTGACAGAGGAAAAGAATAAGTTTTTGAATAGTACATTTTTGGAGAATTTATGGTTAAAATGTAGGAAAATTTTTGAATTTATGTGAAGAATATATATATTTTTTATGATAATTTGTATGAAAAAATAGTTTTGAAAGAATAATTACCAAATATGGGCTTTGAGGATTTAATTGTTTCAATGGTCTCTGAACTTACGTCTATGCCTTATATTGCTCACTGGATTTTAAAATATCGAGTTTTGATTATTAAATTTAGGTCAATGTATTTGATTACTCCTAAAGTTTAAAATGTCGAGTTTTGGACACCGAACTTTGAAAAATATTGTACGTTACTCACTAGCACAACTTCCGTCGAGTTAATCGTTCCCTAATCACTGAACTTAGGTTTATGTCTTTGATTGGTCATTGAAATTTAAAATGTCGAAT